GCCCACAGTCAGGACAAATCTTTGTCACCCGCCAGTCCCACAGCCGCTCAGACCCAACCAAGTAAACACAGAGACTTATATTGCTTACAAACCGTATGTATGGCCGTGGCAGGCTTCTTGCTAACTGTTCTTGTAGCTTAAATTAGGCCATTTCTATAAATCTATATATACCCTGCCACATGGCTCGTGGCTTACCAGCATCTTCACATGCTGCTTGTCATCGTGGAGGCTGGCAGTGTCTCTCCACCTTCCTGTTCTTTCTTTTCTCCTCTCTGTTAGTCCCACCTATACTTCCTGCCTAGCCACTGACCAATCAGTGTTTTATTTATTGACCAATCAGAGCAACACATGTGCCATACAGAACATCCCACAGCATAGTGCGATAGGTTTAATTTCTTAAAAGAGCATATTTTTAGCTTACTGACAAACCCCTGTGCTTCTGAGTTTCACCATGCACTTGTAACATCAGAAAAAAAGATATCACAAGTTAATGAATTTATAATCATTATATCAGAATTTTGAACAGCTGTATATATGGTATGAGCACATCATTTTCCCAATGTACCAAAATTTAGCAAAAAGAAACCACTCCTCCACGTTATAATAATGATGACAGCACATCAGGGTAAAGGCTCCATAACAAATTTACCGCATAGGAGAAAAGTGAATATTGGCCTAACAGTCAGGTGGACCATGTTAGAGCTATGTAACACCTGGAAAGAACACAAGCTAATGACTCACCCTACCTACCCCACCCACCCCACCCACCCCACCCACCCCACAAAAGGCATCAAGAAAGAACACTGCCGTGTCGTTCTGACCACCATCAAAACCCGTATGTAATTTAGGGCTGGAGGGTGGCCCAGCCGTTGAGAGTGCTTACTGCCCTTCTGGAGGACCTGGCTTGGCTTTCACACACGCAGCAAGCAAAGCACTCGTACAAATAATCAAATGTTTTAAGGAAGAAACTGTCACGTACAAAGAAAGTTCAGCAATTTACCCATTTCTGTGTGTCCATGCACACAGCAAAGAGTTGAGACATACAGAAGCCCCAGGACTCACTTTGTTTCAATGGTTTTGCTGGCTTTTTCCATACTTTTCAGACTCTCTGGAGACCGCAGTTGAAATCTACAGCTATCATTCATATTCCAAACTGACTCCATTAAGACACCAACTTTAGGAATTCCAGCACTGATTGAAAATGCCACTGCTCCAGCATGATAAAGAGGATTATTTCTTAAGCACACCTAGCAAACAAAAGAAATCACAAGCAGGATGATGTACAAACAATGACAATCAGTTCATATGTATGCAAAAGTGGGTGGGCTTCCTGTGTTTTCCAACATGAGCTGACACTCAACAAGGGCCTATCACTGTACCCTTCTCGTCCAATCATCTGTTCCCACTTCTAATGAACAGTGACATCAGCATGTCTGCTAGCAACGCGTCGTTAAAGCTCACACAGCCAGTGTCAGCCGTTCCACTGAAGGAAAAGTCAACAGAAAGGCAGGAGAAACTGAAAACAGCACAGCACTTCAAACTAAACTGTGAAGAAGAAACTAGACTTTTCTTCCTTTCATGCCACTGTGAGCGGTTTCTTCCTGAATTCTGACGTTCATAGGCTCTAATACATGTCTCTATGGATGTTTCCCTCGGAAGGGCCGTTCACCAGCCAGAAGACTCAGTGGGCACTGTAATCTTTTCACTTTAAAAGGAGCAGGGTGTGGCAGCTCAGGCCTACAACCCCAGCACTCAGAAGGCTTAGGTAGAAGAAGTGCCTCAGCAAAGCCAGAGTAAGATTCCTAAATAAACAAACAAACAAACAAACAAAAGAGTTTAAACAAGCTCAGGTGTCCATAACCTATACCTTTCTCCATGTCAGCTAAAGGACAGGACATACTAAAGGACACTGGAGAACTAAGGCTGTGCTCTGCAGCTCCAAATCACCAGAGGCTTTGTGGACTTGTGTGCTGAAAGCTGGCCTCCAAAGGGACACTGTCAAACAAACCACAATGGTGGCTTCGTTCTCCCGGAGAACAAGTACGTATCCTCAACTACAGTTTCAGGCATAAATCAATAGTCTCAAAAGCAAACTTTCAGGAGAACTAATCTGGATACCATCTTCCACCGCAGGCCAAACCAGCCACTACGGGGTATGTTCCTACCACCCCCTTACACCTCTCTTCCCAACATTTAATAACTGTACCTACCGACAGTCATAGAAAAAACGTTTCAGGCCAGGCATGGTGGTGCATCCTCTCAATCCTAGCACACAGGAGGAACAGGCAGGAGCATCTCCGAGGTTTAAGGCCAACATAGCTTATACATAGCAAGTTGCAAGCCAAGCTCCAGGGCAGTCGGAGCTTCAAGGAGAAACCCCCATCTCAAAAATTATTAAAGCTCCCCACAAACTTCCCTTAATAAACTCCAACTTTGCTTCACTTTAAAAAAATAAAATGTACCAGGCAGTGGTGGCACGCACCTTTAATCCCAGCACTTGAGAGGCAAAGGCGGGTAGAACTATTTTAGTTCTTAGTATCTTCTCCTTCATTCAAATTGCTAGGCTCTAGCTGAGGCATTCAGAGATTATCCACTGATTAAAGAATGAAAGGAACATGGGGCCTGCAGGAGACCCTACACTTTGAAAATCACTTTCTAATGCCCCATCATAGAGCCCTGAAGCACCAATCTGTAGAAATGCAAGGATGGGACACAACCTCTTCCTGACAATAGCCTACCCACAGAGCAGTCTTCCAACCTGCTCCACTCTCAGACTCCCCTGGGCTGTCAATCACTAGGACAACCTCAACCAACATTCCTGGAAGGGTCACTCCAGGCTCTTCACTGAAAAAGTACTACACAGTTCTAACAGCCAGGGTAATACAGGAACTCAGCTCTACAGGAAAACCACATACAGACAGACACGAGACTAGAATCCACAATGACGGCTGCAAGAAAAATGACATGGCTACGAGATATGGACACATGCTACTAGAACCCAGAATATTCAAGTAACACTCAACTATAAAAATGCTGGTTAAGAGGAACTGCTCAGCAAAGGAGAGGGTGATTTCTTTAAGAGAAATGACGCCATTTACCTCAGCTGGCTTAATTCTAACCACTTACCTGAGTTCCAACAGTGATGTTTGGCATGGAGGAAATACCAGCACTGGATTTAGGCTTTTTATTTTTTGCTCTAGCTTTCTCTAACATTTTCTTCCTTTGACTAAAAGGGACAACACCCCTGAAAGGAAAACCACAGACTGGTCAAGAAAGCAGCAAAGCCCATTAAATAAATCTACAACTATTTTGCCATTCAAGCCTTGCTGGTACACTGCTTCTGCAAATGTCTGATCTCAGAATAGTATTCCTCTGCAACTACTTCCAGCTTCACGGTCTTCGTAACTTTATTAAGAAATAACTGGATCCAGTTTTACTAAAGCTTTAGGATTAAATTCTACAGAAAAAAGCCAGGCAGCAGTGGTGCACGCCTTTAATCCCAGCACTCGGGAGGCAGAGCCAGGCGGATCTCTGTGAGTTCGAGGCCAGCCTGGTCTACAGACTGAGATCCAGGACAGGCACAAAACTACATAGAGAAACCCTGTCTCGAAAAACAAAACAAAACAACAACAACAAAATCTACAGAAAATAAAACCAATATTCTTTTACAAATAACTTTTTCTTACAAATAATTACTTTTGATGATCTAAATTTACTGGTATCCCCCTGAAAATACAACAAAGAATAAACTTTGAACCTTATTAACTATAGTTATATAATATAAATGAAGAAAAAATTCATGCAATGAAAATTTAAAATAACATATGTCCCATAATTTGCAACTGTGTAAAAGTAAAGTACATGTGTACATACAGAAGAAAGGATTAAAACTACCTGAAAATACTAGCTGTAGCCGACTCATAGTAGGAGTCTGTGTGATTTATTTTGCTTTGTGCTCTCAGGATGTCTAATAACATGGTTGCCAAGGATACATTGTATAAATTTATTCTCAGTCTGTTAATGCAACTGCTCTGAAGGGAAATTTGTGTCTCTACAATGACCTCAAGGTGATACTCTTCTCTTCAAAACTGCTTTCTATGTAATGAGAACCCTGTGAAAGATACTTACCACCAATATAAATTATTCTCCAGCTGGGCACAGGTATAAAGGGCACAGCAATGTAAAGAAACTATCCGTTCTCCTTGAAGTTCAGAGTAAGTCTGCGCCGTGTGCTCTAACTTAGAAGCCACGGAACTTAAAGTCTCATCCACCCATGTAGCAACCTAAGGAAGATAATAGTAGAGGCTTAAGTAAAAGAAGTCTCTTTCCAAAAGAACCGTGGTCATCAACACTACTGTAAGGCCTAATGTCTTCTATCAACTCCAGGTCTAAAATGTTTGGAGGTTCAATACAACAAAAGTAAGTGCTTCAGAAAAGCTTCCTGGAGGCGGGGAGATGGCTCAGGGATTAATAAGAGTACTTGTTGCTCCTGCAGCAAGGTTCAGTTCCCTCCACCCACATGGAGGCTCACAGTCATCTACAACTGCAGTGCCAGGAGATCCGGCACCCTCCTCTCACCACCCTGGCCCCGGGCATGCACATGGTAAACCATCACATGTGCAAGCAAGCAAAACACCCACCATACATATGAAAAAAATGCAAAGCTTCCCAATTAAAACTCAAACACTTTCTTCACATGTAAATCAAACCCCTACCATTTCTAAGGCACTAACCAAGCCTAAACACGTTCCTCTTTGGGAGCTGGGAGAGTGAGACAAGTTCTCACCAGTCTAGGCTGACCTCAAACTTGAGATCTTCCAGCCTCTAACTACTGGAAGTTGGAAGATCCCCAACTACTAGAAGTACAGTCATAGGCCACCAGACTGTTGCTCTAAGAATTTGTAATAGAATTCAATACCTTTAAAGTCATGCTGATCATCTAAAATGTAATGCCAGTCTCCAGCCACACCACCCTAACATGCCTAACCTCATCTGAAGTGTAATGATGCCAGTCTCCAGCCACACCACCCTAACATGCCTAACCTCATCTGAAGTGGAACATCAACACGTTCAATCAATCTTTTATAGCCTCTTAAGCCCTTTCTCCTGTCTCTTAGCACTTTCCTCTCTAGCTTTTCATGGGTACTTTCTTCTTCCCTTAACAGTAGAAAGCCACTTTACACAGTTTTCTAGACAAGCTGGCAGGATAAGGCACCAGAACCCACCAATGTGTGAGGAGAAAACTGGTTCTCATACGTTGTCATCTTACTCCACATGTGCGCCATGTGCCCACATGCACACAGTTATACTAAGTGATTGTAAATAGTTTCAAAGTTAAATTATAGTATAAATTAGCCAACAAAAAATTAAGAGACAGAATTATTGTAAATGTTAAAACGCTTTAAATACGGTCCTGTATCAGAATGAAAGAAGCTGAAAGGGGCAGAGAAGCACGCCACGACTTTAACCATGAAATAAATGTTCATCGATGCAAACCAAACGCTTCCCACCTTGTTGTTCTCAGTAGCCACAGTGGCTCTTATGCTGTTTGCAGACAGGAGGACGATCTTTTCATTGGTCAGCCCCAAAACTGCTGCTCGTGGATGATGTAGTGAAGGATTCTTTGAAAGCATAAGAAGAATGATTACTATTCTTATATTGCTATGTAGAGTCACTCATTCCCAGAGTAACTATAACAAAATACCTGGGCGTTCCTGTAGGGTTCAGACTCACTCCATTTCCACTGATAAAGCTCTCCTTTACTACTGACAGCGAGAAGCTCAGAATACAGAGCCCCAATGCACGTAAATTTTGTTCCATCCTATAAAGTAAAAATAAAACAAAATTATGAATACAAAAATTGCCAAATTCCTTGGTTTAGACACTGCTTTTAGTCACTACAAATCTAGACTGCTTACATAGGCATATAAACCACAATCTCAAGATCCTCACAATCCTTGACTCCCTTTCAGAACTCAGTCCTCCTCCTTCAGCAATGCTGGCCTGCCGCCTGCTCCAGAACATCACACTAACTGTCCTTGCTATTGTCCCCGCCTCCCCTCTCAGAGAATCCATTCCCTCTTACATCAAGCCTATGCTAGGAAGACCCTCAGTCTCACCAACTCTGATATTCTAGCTCCCACCCTGCCTTCCTCTCAGCTCATACCACAGCGCACAGCCCAGAACACTGCCCAGCCTGAGACAAAGGTAAGCTCTTCTTTGCACTGTAACCTGAGAACAGTCCACAGAAAATCCTCAGTCAGTAAGTGTGCTGAGTAGAGTGGGGTGGAGGTAGTAAGACCTTCCCTACAGATACGTCCAAACTGCTGAAACCAATGCCCCTGCTGCTGTTGGTGTTTCCGTGGTAAAAGTTCATTCATTTTTAAGGGGAAAGAAATGTAAGAGACTAGGATGCAATCATATCTAAAAACAAAATGAGCAATGAATGTAAGTAACAATTGATTATTTTTAACATAAATGACTGACCCATAAAGTTACCCAGAAACCTCAAAGCAAAGTGTGCAATAACAGAATCTTCCTTTGTCAGATCGACTACACAGCTGACCTAACTTAGGGGTAGGTATCTATCAAGGGCTGGAAGCACGGGTTACACTTCAGAATATACCAAAAGAGCACTGATTTGAATCTTACTGCATCTGCACCAACCCCTTCACTCCAGGTAACCTTACAGATGGCATCTGAAGATGATACCCAACAGAATTTAAATTCCTCACATCACCAAATCCTCTCTTCTCTAAACCATGGGCATCAGACGGCCACCACCTGCTTTCCTTGTAGGAACTGCACCACATCTTACCTTTTATATCTCTCTCCTCTCAATCCTTTAGCTAGAATTTAATATAATGGCCAGGCAGTGATGCCACCCACACGCATTTAATCCCAGCACTTAGCAGGCAGAGGCAGGTAGATCTCTGTTGAATTCGAGGCTAGCCTGGTCTACAGAATGAGCCCCAAGATAGCCAAGGCTACACAGAGAAACCCTGTCTCAAAAAACAAACAAAACAATAAATTTATATAATGGAATGGCATCAGCAAAGGGGAATCTGAAATCTAGGTCCACTTACTAAAGTGATGTGATGTCAACTGTGTTATTTCTCTAAACCCATTTTTCACCTCTGAAATGAATATATTTTAACAAGTATCTGGGAGGGGGTGTGAACTAATAAGCAAAGTATACTGCACAGAGCCTACTATTGCTTAATCAGACTCAGCTGTGACTCTGTTGCTCCTCATTCACCTTCTGCTCCCCAAACAATGACAGTTCCTAGAGAGAGGCTTCCTGCAGAGCTCTACCTCTGTGTTACATAATAAAAGCCCCTTTCTTTTCTAATCTCTTACCACCTCCCATCTCCAGAGAAAGATCTCCTTCCTACCTTCTTTAAAGGCCACACACCGACATACACACTGAACATAGCCCCTTCTTGTATCCCTTTCCCACAACCACCATTCAAACTAGCTTGTCCTTCAGTCCACTTTGTGACAAACTCAATTCTCACTTAAGCTGTTTCATCTTACCGTAGTACTTTCAAGTGCCAAATGGATACTCTACCTATTTTATCCATCTACTCCTACAAACTCTACAACCAGCCGGTCTCCTCAAGTGTCTCCACCAGGCCCACCCCCATCTTCGGTCCCCACCTCCACTAATGAGTCCCATCACCCCTGAGGACTAGCGGGATCTGAGAGCCTTCTCCACTCTTCTTTTCTCTCATCAATGCAGCAACCAATCAGAGTGACACACTTGTCAACTCCTGAGTCTCCTTCCTCATCCCCACTAGTACTCCTTTGGTTAAGGTCTTCACAGTTTACTCAACAGTCCTATCACACAACTGATTAGATGTTCCTTTTCCTCTTCCTGTATTTCTTTCCATACCAACAGTGTTCACTTCCTTAAACACACACAAAAACCTCACCAACCTCATCGTAATTCTCTAAAGACTCTGTAAGACCTTAGTCACTGAAAATCAGTACCTCAATTCCCTGGCAAGTGGACCTCAGCCATCTTCCATCTACTCCAGTCAGTCTACCACATCTACTTCCTATAACACAGCGGCAATTCTGTGTGTTCACTTTCACAAACGTACTGTGAGCTCTCAGGACCCGGGGTCCACGCACGATTACGGTCAGTGCCCACTTTACCTCAACAACGTTCACATGTCACACCTTCTGGAAGCCTTTCTCCAGTCTCTAAAATGGGATTAGGCATTGCCCATTCAATGCCCAGAGAACTTTCTCCACACCTTCAGCCCGTCACCCTTTACAGTAAGTACTCCCCAATGAACTCCCTGTGGAAGCTCTACATTACTGCAGGCCAGCGCGACACATGGTAGAGCAAAAGCACATCAACCAACCGCTCAGCGAACACATAAAACTCAACGCCAATATCTTCTGTAAATGCTCTGCTGAGGGCAGTACAACCCCCAATGAACCATCCTAACCGCAAAAGCACAATGACAAGACCCTCTTGGAACTCATTTATTCATTTAAAAACCAATAAAAAATGACTTCCATCCATGACAGACAGGACTGATCGGAACCTGAAAATCTGTTAGGGATGATGTCGATGACTAAGTCCAATCACCAGCCTAGGGAAGGGACAGAAAAAGCACTTATTCAAATGTCACTGAAAGGTAAGCATAGCATCTTACTGAGACCAAAGGACTAGTGGCCTCGGAGTCTGATCTGCCGTTTGGTCATGTGGCTACTCCACCTCACCCTTGCTTTCCTTTGCCTGCGCTTCTTCCGTGGTCCTGTCTCCTGTACTCATCTCATTAAACTGCATTTTGGCACACTTGGGACACTTTGTTTTTGTCTTGTTGGCCTGCTACTCACTATGAAGCACAAGTCGGCCCTGAACACATGGCAATCCTCCTGAGTGCTAGGATCATATGCATGTGTCTTCATGCCTGAACGGAGCTAACTTTCAATGGACATTTTTTAGAAATTTCTAGGTATCAATAAAACAAGCTTCCCCTTCTAGAATTTGTTTTCCTACTCCTCCGTGTGAAAATCATGGTTAAGATGAAGCAACACAGCCAACAGCATGTTCCAACAGCAAATGACTTCTGTACGGAGCTAGTCATCACAGGTCGGCCTCACCATTCAGAGAAGCAGATAAAGCACACAACTTCATGTTCAAAGAGTTGGTACCAATTCAAGTACTTATCCCCCTAAACTATCTGGAAACATATCCAGGACACTGAGGGAAATAAGGGCTACTTAAGTGCTGATCTGCCTGCCCATCCCTTCTGTAGAACCCCAGACAACCACCACCAAACCCATCCTGAGAGCTCAGCAAATGAAGACTGAAGCATCTTTTAAATCTAAACAGTGTGTATTGTGGTGATATTTTATTTGTGCTGAAATGTTATATTTGTATGTTTATAAATAAAGTTTGCCTGGAGATCAGAGGTCATAGCAACCATAAAACAGAAGTCAGGCGGAGGTAGCATACTTCCTTAATCTGATCACATGGCAGGCAGAGTCTCTGTGTGGTCAAGGACACAGCCAAGCCTGGTAATACACACCTTTAATCCCAGTACCAACCACAGAGACCTGGAGGTCTGTATAGACAGGCAGTGACGAGGAAGTGATGTGGCTGGGCTTAGAGCCAACGAGAAAGCAGAACAGGAAGGCAATAAAAATGCAGGTTAGACAGGAAGAAGCGCTCTCTGGGGAAGCGACGGCTTGGTGGTGAGCTAAGGCTAGTCATAGCTATTGGCTATTGCTCTGATCTCTTCGGCTATCACCCCTGTATTTGGCTCTGTGTTTCTTATTTAATAAGACTGTTTAGAAATTCGTCTACCTCTGGTGGCCTTACAGGCCGGGGGTTACGGCACTGGCTCAGCCAGAGTTTGCAGCCCGACAAGCAGTCCAGCCAGCAGCCAGAGCTGCACTCCACAGTAGTAGCTACGAGTGGCCCGGCTAGCTCAGTTGGTAGAGCATGAGACTCTTAATCTCAGGGTCATGTGTTTGAGCCCCACATTGGGCACCATTTGTAGCTAAAGTTTTCCTGGTCCTGCGCCGTTCCCGAGGTCCTGCAGCTGCTTGGACCGAAGAAAACACACAGAGGCTTATATTAATTAAAGCTGCTCGGCCATTACCTCAGGCTAACTATTGACTAGCTCTTACACTTAAATTAACCCATAATTCTTATTTATATTTAGTCACGTGGCTTGGTACCTTCTCTTGGTTCTGCCTTCACATCTTGCTTCTTCTGTGTCTTGCTGGCGACTCCTGACTCAGCCTTCCCCGTTCCCAGAATTCTCTTCTCTGCTTGTCCCGCCTATACTTCCTGCCTAGCTACTGGCCAATCAGCATTTTATTTACTAACCAAACAGAGCAACACATTCACGCAACCCACAACAGTGTATTGTCAGAGTCAAAGCAGAGTTTTGTGCTTATCAAATTTACTAATGGAGATGTGGAATTTATTGCACACCTTTGAGGTTTCAACAGGAAGTCCAGCTATTACAGTAAACAGCCACCATGGCTGAGCAGACCTATATTTCTCATCCCCTAGAACTGTAACCGAGACAGCTGACATCACTTATTTACCTGCTCCTCCAGTGGAAGTTAGATTTCTAGACATTTATGTCATGATTGTGTATATGCTACTTTACATCCTTTCACTGCACCTTTCCATTTAATGTCGTCTGTGATAACCAATTTTATTCTGGCCTTTCTTTTTTGAAGACTTTTAAGTGAAATCATAACAGCATATATGTTTCTAACTGTTTCACTTAGCATGTTTTCCTCTAATTCTATCCCTTTTGTGATAATAGGAGATTTTGCAGACCACCCCAATGTGTGGTGTGTGTGTGTGTATGAATGAGAAAGAGAGAGGGGGGGGAGGGAGAGAGGGAGGGAGGGAGAGACTTATTCATCCATTGACAGACACGTGTTCCATAGTCTGGCTATTTTCAGTTGACTTCATCCCATTTGGGCACACATTCCTCACAGGGTATGCAATCCATTAACCTCTATGCACAAGAGCATGCTGTGGCACCTACCACAGCAATAAACACAATAAATAAGTAAATAAGTGTGTAAAAAATTTTTTTAAAAGAATGTGAATTAGGTAATTCCCCAAAACTGGAAGGAGATATATTAATTTTTGACCTCAAAGGAGACTATTTCCTATTTAGGAACTCTAACCAGGCTCTGGCTTCATTGTTGACTGTACAAGTCACGTGAGCACTGCCAGAGACAGGAAGTGTTCTCATCAATCTGAAGTGCTCCAAGTTTATAGCAAATAGGATACAGCTGAAGAGATGACTCAGTGGTTAAGAGCTCTGCCTACTCCTCCAGAGGACCCAGGTTCAATTCCAGCACTCATGTGGCATCTAACAACCTTCCAACACCCTCTTCTGATTTCCACGGACACAAAGTACATAATACACAAACATAGATGCAGGCAAATATACTTGATATACAAAAATAAAAAGTTTTTAAAAAAATGAATAGTTCAAATACAAGCTATAAAATTCTGGTGATTATAGTATACAAAATAAAGACTACCTTCTCATATACTGATAAACTAAGAATGTAGAAACACATTATCCTATCAAAATAATGCATCAGGTGGTGGCGCACGCCTTTAATCCCAGCACTTGGGAGGCAGAGGCAGGCAGATCCCTCTGTGTTCAAGGCCAGCCCGGTCTACAGAGTGAGATCCAGAACAGTCAGGACTACACAGAGAAACTCTGTCTCAAATAAATGATGGATGTTAGAGAGAGAGAGAGACAAAGACAGAAAGACAGAGAGAGAGATAATAAAGTAAATTTTTAAAAAATATAAAAGCTACCAAGTTTAACTTTTAAAAAATCTTACCAAGATTCACATTTCAAGATTAATGTCTAAGTGGCTATAGTCTGTCTGTTACAATAGACTTAGAGCTGCATGGGAAAAGTCTCAACAATCAATACAGCCCCATTATCTAACAAAGCAAACAAAGGCCTCTAGAGTAGTCAGTCAACAACCACGTGACAAGGAAGGGCTAGACTGATGGATCCATGCTCTCCATCTGCTCTGGTTCTCAAGCGCTGACTTAGGCACAACATTCCCAACTGTCCTGAGCCAGGGCCTCTTCAGACCCTCAGCAGATGGCAGCTACCAAGTGCACCCTGTCCCGCTTGCCTATGGCGCCCGCCTGCTGACTTCCTTCCAGCACTCGCAGGTCTTCCCTAGGGAAAAGGACGGCGCTCTAACAATCCAGACAAGAGAAATAGCGACTGCCCCATGGCTGGAGGCGGGGGGAGCAAGAGGGGGACAAGAGGGAGTGGGGGCGGGTAGGAAGAACAGGAGAAAGGGAAGAGAGGGAAAGCGAGAGAGCACAGGAGAGAGGGGGAACTACCAAAAGGTGCTGTGGCTATCGCTCTGTATAAATAAAGTGCTGATTGGCCAGGAGCCAGGCAGGAAGTATAGGCGGGACAAAAAGAGAAGAGAATTCTGGGAACAGGAAGGCTGAGTCAGGAGACACTGCCAGCTGCCATCATGAGTACCAACATGTAAGACACCGGTAAGCCACGAGCCATGTGGCAACTTATAGATTAATAGAAATGGGTTAATTTAAGCTATAAGAACAGTTAGCAAGAAGCCTGCTGCGGCCATACAATTTGTAAGCAATATAAGTCTCTGTGTTTACTCGGTTGGGTCTGAGCAGCTGTGGGACTGGCAGGTGACAGAGATTTGTCCTGACTGTGAAAACCCTAGCTACAGAAAGGTCTACACGACCACACAGGGAGAAGGAACCAGGGATGTGTCTGTGTTTCAAGTATTCTAGCTGCCAGGAAAAAAGTCTAAAGACAGTGACTCAAGTGCATGGCCCCTCTTACATTCAAGTTTCCATGTGAGCTAAGTAGCAAAAAAATATATTAACTACATTAAGACTGATGATAACTATGGAAAACATAAATTTGGAAGGTTTACTAGTCCCCCAAATTTGAGTTCAAAGAAGTGAAAAATAATCTCAGGTTTGCACCTCTTCATCTGCTGGTGATAAACATCCAAGCTGCCTCCACACCCTTTCCCCCCCTACTTAAGACAGAGTCTCATGTGGCCCAGTTTGGACTCCAATTCCTAATTCTCCTGCTTCACCTTCCCAAACACAGGATCAGAGATGTGCACCAAAACTTCAGTTTATCTATGCTTAAGAATTAGTCCCACTGAACTGGAGAGGGAGGGGAGAAACTGGGCATGTTTTTTTAATAAATGAAGAACATGGATTTCTATAAAAGCTTTTGAAAATGAATTAACCACTTAAGACAATGGAACGCACACCATCAACAGACTTCACTTGTGGTAGAGATGAATTTGTCAAGATCCAAATCAACTTCACAAATCCTAGGTACATTCTGGGATTCACTTCCTGTTCTATTTTCCTAGGCCTGTTCTCATCTGGCCTACTCTGTCTACTACCATGGCATTGAAGGGTCTTTCAAAACCTCCTGTCATAAAATGGAACAGCTATGTAACTGCAGAAACACAGCGCCCTCATCTTGTTCTGACATGCATGCTGCACCAATGACCAGAGCTTGTCCTGCGGAAACTTGAGTCCATCTGGCATTTCAAACTTAGAAAAGTAAATCTCTACCAAAGAATATAACAACTATTAAAATAATTATCGCCAGGAAAACTGTCCTGGAGGATAAGTGCTCATGTGTTACTAAGACAACCACCCTAATTTCTCCGATTCACTCCAGCACACAACACAGCAAGCAGTAGCACCACTGGACACGTGGTACATGACTTGGGCCATGCTCTGGAAGATGCTCTGGGGGTCTGCTTGTAAACAAAAGACAGATGAGCACTTTAGAAGTGTTGCCTCTTTCAACAGTCCTACAAAAATCACAATAAATAAAACAGAAACCCTTCAATGGAGGGGGGCATTTGTTAGGAATCTACTTAAAAGTATAAAACTTTTTCCAAATACCTTATCAGGCCACCATTGTAAATCTTCCCCCAGGGACACTGGACTTTGGACAGGTGTGTTCTTCTTGTCCTGGTTTGGCTCTCCTTCTTTACTGGTAGAGCCCCTTTCATTATCAAATGAGGCTCCATCAAGCCACCTTCGTTCCCGCAAACGCAGAACAGATTCCCGTTCCCGCAAAAGCTCGGAGTCTCTCTCTAAGGGAAGAAGGAGAACTGGTATGCAATCGGGTCACACCAGTGGGATAAAAGTAAGCCACTCTCTAGTACACACCCTGCAGGACGCAGCAGCTAACAGCACTATATCTACTCAAATGTACACACATCAGTATCTAATTAGGCTGACACGCAACATTCAAATCATCAACCCTTCAAGTGACTGGATGAAAATTATAAACTAGTATTTTTTCGAAACTATGCAGAGGCAGCTCGATGTTTTTAGAGCAGAATTATTCTTAGTTTGATTTGGTGGCTTTTTAAAATAGATTTAAACATTCTGGAATCATTTCATTATTCATATGAAATTCGTATTATATCATTAGAAATACTTAGTATAAGAGTCCTTGATTTATAAACTAGAATCCACCCATCCCCCCCACCCCCGCCCCCCAGCTGAGGACCAAACCTAGGGCCACTGAGCTAAATCCTCAACCCCTATAAACTAGAATTTCAAAACATTTAATACTTGTTAGCAAATTGGGCTGGCTAGTTTTTATGTCAATGTGACACAGACCCGAGTCACCTAGAAAGAAAACACATTAATTGGAAAAAATGACCCTACCAGACTAGTCCATGGGATTTTCCTGAACAGTGGTTGATGTGGAAGGGCCCTGCCCATTGTGGGGCTTTAAGAAGGTAGGTGTGGTTCTGGGTACTATAAAAGAGTAGGTTGAGCAAGCCATGAGAAACAAGCCAGTAAGTAGCTCCCCTCCATGGCCTCTGCATCAGCTCCTGCCTCCAGGTTCCTGCCCTGCTTGAGTTCTGGGCCTGACTTCCCTCAGAAACTATGATGTGGAAGTGGTTCACTGAAATAAACCACCTCCTCCCTAAACTGATTTTGGTCATGTTGTTTTATCTCAGCAACAGAAACCCTAACTAAGGCACAAACCAACAGTATTTGTTACAAATCTTCAAAGTTTGTTTTTCCAATAAAGAAACAAAAACTTCAACAGGCTGAACTATAAATATATTAGGATAAAGTAAAAACTCAAGTCCTTGTTACAGATAAACTTACAGGATAGATTTTATGGATAAATCTTCTAAAATGTTTTGAAAAACAGGTGGCTTTTTTGTTTTGTTTTGTTTTTATTTTTGGGGGGGGGGGGGCGCTTTCTGGATAAGTCTTTTTATACTGTCCTTAAAACTGCCCTCAAATCATCTAAAGCCATAGCCACATTTTTGGTTGTTTGTAGGCTACTTTTTAAAATAGTTAAAAGAGCCAGGAGTGGTGTCGCACACGTTTATTTCCAGTACTTGGAGAGGCAGGGGAAGGTGGATCTCTGATTTCAATGGCAGCAAGGGATATACAAAGAAATCCTACCATGAATGAATGAATGAATGAATGAATGAATGAATGAATGAATGAATGAAATGAGTGAGTGAATGAATAGAAAAATAAAGTAAAAAAAGAAACTTTTTCAGAAAAAACTTTGTTTTAATTATAAAGATTTTATTTAATAAAATAATTAAAAATAAAATAATATTTTAATAATCAGGGCTGGGCAGCAGTGGTACACGCCTTTAATCCCAGCACTGGGAAGCAGAAGTAGGAGGATCTCTGTGAGTTCAAGGCTAGCGTGGTCTGAGCAAGAGCCAAGACAGCCACCAAAACTACATAGAGAAACCCTGTCTCAAAAAACCAAAATAAAGAAAGAAAATAAAGATCAGAGACAATACATAGCTGAGTCACAGAAAAGTGCAGCATTTGAGGCTTGCTCAGCATGTAGCTCAAGGTCAAGCACTTGCCCAGCTCATGGCAGGCTTTGGTTTCAGTTCCCCAGCACCACTAAGACAACAAAACACGGCCCAAGTCAAAAGTGATTCAAACTAAAAATATCTACACAGAATCAACTTAAGAAACAGATATTTAGGAGATGCTAATGTCAGAAAATAAATAATTGAAAATTCAACACTTGCTAATTTTAAAGCAGTAAAGTTTAAGCTACTACATATATTCATGTTAAATGGTCACCCTCAGATATGTAAGTACCAAGTATCTGCAAAAAGGCCATCCTTAATAGAACATGGCATCTTTTCTAGTTTACTAATTAATTATTGGTAATTATAGCTTATTTTGTCTATTACTTCAATCAAGCAGGTTCGAACTCTGGAAAGTTAACTGAGTCGTAATGTGAGCTAAAATGGTTCAAAATCTGCACTGCATTCCTTTTAAAGATTTTAGACTTATACCAACAGCATATTAATAAACCAAATATGTCTATTCATTTAATACTAGCCAGTCAGTCCTAAGTTCTTCATACTTCACTCTTTAAAATGAACATGATTGTGTCATTTTAATCAAACAAATTAAGGAGGTTTACTGCATGTCGCTGTAAACTAGAATTCTGCTTTTAGTTAGATCAAAATCCATCTTACTAGGTAAAAATGTACTTAGGCAAGTCACAGCATAGTAAGACCCTCTCTGAAATACTGCTGTGGCACTCCAGACACAAACATCGAGTCTGAGGCCAAGGCTCCCCGGCCCACTGCCATGGCAGGACTCAGATCCAGGCGAGTTGACCACTCTCTTTCCACAGAGCCAGCCCACAGTCAAGAAGAAATAAATGCAAAATTACCTCGAGATGAGCCTAGCCTAGAAAGTGATGAACGACGAAAAGAAGGGTAACCAAAATAGCTAATGTCCTCAGAGAACATGGCATCAGCATCGATAATGACACTTGGGTGGGCAGAGTGAATGTCAGCATCAAGCAGAGACATAAGATCCTCTACAAACAAAAACAAAACAAATATAAAGGAAGCAGCTGTGGATTATGTATCCGTAGACCACTAAAAGATTTCTAAAAATTAAAATACATTCAAATCATGGACTGTTTTCACTGAAGTAAAAATCACAGGATCTAGGAAATAAAATTAACATTATAAACATAGATCTTAAGGACTATCACATGCATAATTGCTACAGTCTCTATTTACTAAATTAAAAACCACTCTTAAGATACTTAACGACATCACAGGAACAAAATACAGACAAAATATAATGCAGTTCAGTAAGTGCCAATGCTCAGTGATGATATTATCAAAAAACAACATCCCACATGTCAGCCAGGGATAAATCCATGCACTATAATGTCTTAATTAGGATCAAGCACAAATCCACTGAGCAAAAATATTTTCCTTTAAAAGGGACTTTATAATCAAAGTGCATAGCAAGAACTACCCAGCACCTTCCAAAGGACAGACATGGTCAGCAGTTACACTTTAAAACTCCAGCCCTCAGGCGAGGGGCGGCAGCCCAAGCAGCAGAGAAAGACAGGAGAGCGAAGCACCAACCTCCAGGCAGGTAAGATTCGCTGGCCGTATCATCCCCATCGTCTCCGTCTTCATCGTCTCGGCTGAGCAAATTATTTACAGCAAGGTTTACGTCCAGGTTTGTCCGCTGAAGTTCTCGAATAATGACACTCCTGGACTTGCCTTGTAAAACAACCTGGGCCTAAAGTAAACAAAGGATGGTGCTATGCTAATTTTCTATTACTTACTAAAGTCAGTCTTCTAAATCAATTTTAAAAAAAAAAAGGCCACATTTTTTAACTCTTTGGGGTCAAGACCTCCCCTCCCCCTTTGTAGGATAGGTTCTGACAGACCGCACCTGTGAAATCAGCTCCTCAGGGATGACGGATGCTGGGATAACTGGCTGGGGCTGGCTGCCCAGAAGTCCTGACCCCCGATCCCGTCCTGTCCGAATGACTCGCGTCTGTCGCCGGGAGTCACGAGCCCCAGCAGATGATCTGCCAGAGGAACCTCCTCCTCCACTTCCGCCCACTCCAGAACTCCAGCGGCTCCTAAAGAGTAGATAATTGGTACAATTCAAGTTTTTACACAATCCACTCTAAGAGACCATGTTGAGTCTCATTCTTGTACATTAGTTATCCAGCTAAAATTCTGGAACAAACTTTAAAGTAACTGTCTGACTTTGTAATACGTAAATATGAATTCACTTTAAACAACAGACGGCATTCTTTTCATCTATGCTGAACATCTGCACAGGAGGAGGCAGACATGGTAGTGTTTCCCTGTAATCCCAACACTCAGGAGATAGGGAAGACCTACCCAAAACAAAAGGGAAAGGGACAGTTAAGTCCATAAATAAGAGGACCCCCAAACTTTCTTGGCCAGACAGCCTAGTGAAGTAGGTGAGTCCCAGTTCCGGGTCATGCTGCAGGAACTAGAGGAGAGTGACTGAGGAAGAGGCCGTCAGCATTCACACGCAGGGCTGCACACACACCCAGACCCACAGATGCACATGTACACGAACACCCATACATATATGCAGAAAGTGGGAGAGCCACACCAATGAGTCTAAAAAATAGAATAAGCAGAGAGACTTTATATTAAGCAGATTGACTTTATGTCCCAGTTACCTGTAAGAGTGACACTTTAAGCCTACTATCTGAACCTAATTACTAATTTCATCTAAAAATGTCCCAGTTTGGTTAATAATCCATGTGGCTAACGAACACAAAAGAAATGAATTGCTATTTCTACCAAGTAATGCATACCATTTTCCCCTAAACAAGAATGCTAGAAACCTGATGGGATATATTATCTAAGCTCACATATACATCCATGTTAATCTTCAAGCATCACAAACTAAAACTGTCAAGAGTAGGTATAGGCAGGTGTCATAAAACTGAATACTAAGGCAGAAGGGAACCGTGGAGCACAGCCGCCTATGAGAAGAACCCATGTGTGTGAACTGAGTTCCGACTCACTCTGACAATACCAGCTGACAGTCTGCTGCCTCTGCTCAGGAACCTGCACTGCCTTCAGTTACCCCTTCTGTAACTGCTGCTACAGGGATCTTGGGATTCCCTGCTCTGTTGAACCTATCAGAAATCAAACTGAATACCTGCCCATACCCTAACTGCTCCTAAACATTCTTCTAACCAACCAACCAACCAACCTGTGCTTTAGACAAAGATGAATGTTATCTTAAGCACATAGCACTGGTTGAGTTTTACTAATAGGTAACAAGACAGTACCGAATGAGTAATTCCTTTTATTCATAATAAAGTTAGGATTTTCTAAAATATTAAACTAAAACATATGGAAAACCCTGACTCTCCTCTGTAGAATTACTTAACAAATTAGTGCTACAATTCTAACTCAAAGAACACAGAAGGACCACAAATCACACACAGTATTAATTAGCCCATAGCTTACAAATCTATGAACCAAGTGTAGTCCACATAATTGGTAAACTGTTTAAAGTCCACAGTGTTTGTTTAAAGGAAGAGTCTGAGGAATTTCCCACGTAAGTTACAGAAACAGGAAAGGAAGGTGAGTACCCTGGACTCCTCAGGGCACGCTGGACAGAGAGCACTAAAGTAGTGACTCAGCACTCAGAGCATTTGCTGGGCAAGCGTGGGGACCCAAGTTCAGATCCCAGACTCCCTAACAAGTTGACTATGGTCCTCCCGTGTGCAGCTGTAACCCAGGGATAAGTAGAAGAGACAGGACAATCACTTGACTCCCTGGCTGCCAACCTAGACGAAAAGTATGGGCTCCATGTTCTGGAAAGAGACCCTGCCTCAAAGGAGTAAGGCAGGAAATGACAGAGGCAGGCACCTGATGGTCTCTTGTCTGGGCATGCGCACAGGTGCAAGCACCAGCATGAACATGCTCACACACCACACGTGATCCTCAACATCCTCAAACATCCAGTTTGTCAGAGTCCTGCTACCTTCCACCCTTCCTACCTGGCCAGCTTCAACCTCCAATTTCCAAATACCTGTTTATCTTTTACAATCCAAAACCTGTAATAAATTATTAGTTCAAACAAAATCCTCAAGGACTGTGGCACTCGAGCCGATGAGAAAAAGCTAGCCCGCCTACATGTGAAATGACAAGACAACAATTTCGACAGCCACAGCTCCCAAGCCTTACGACTAAACACAAACTCTCCTCTCCTCTCCTTCCAAATAAATGACTCTTATTTCCAACCTGGTCTAAAATGAACTAATAAAAACAATAGGAGATTTTTGAAACATTTCCCAGTATACACATTAAGTAATTATTAATGGGAGAAAACAGCAGCTGGCGATCTGTAGTCCACAAAACTGCTGAACACGAAACACCAAAGGGAAAAGCTTTCAAAGGAATGCTAAAGCCTGAGACAAGCGGTGAAAACCAACAACCACCTCTCAACGACCCCGCTGCCAGGAGAAGCAGCAATGTGGTTATCCCAAGATCTTCCAACACAACGGTGAGATGGAGACTGTTCACCTCCAAAGGGGAAGAGTGTTTTGTAGTGGGACATCATCTTCACTATTAACCAGTGGGAAGTAGAACTCAGCCATGCCACTGGACTTGGCCTGCAGAACCCCAACTCAACAAAGAAATGTTTATCTTCAAGCAAAGTATTATTTGACAGGTACTACAGATAACAGTTAATTTCCTAAGGAAATGTATTCTTCCAGGTTTATCAAAAGAAATCATTTTGCTCTTATGTTCTTTTCAGTTCTTCAGCATGCACTGTGTGCACAGAGATGTGATGTGTAAGTCAGAAATAAAGCACTTGCTTGGAATAGACAAGGCATGGGTTTGATCCTCATCTTTGCAAAGAATAAGGATGCTTTATTAAAAGATCCGGGATGTATTTTCTGTACCTGAGCTAAAAAGGACACACAAAACAATCTCAAGAATGTACCTAACCATGACAAATGACCTTCCTCCAATCTTCAGATAATTTAGTTCAGCACAAAAATATATTAAGTATTTTGAAATCTCAATTTTTAAATCTTACTTTACCTATGTCACACTGTATATAAAATTTTGAAAGCCATTCCAACTACATAATCATTTTTAATCAAGCATTGAATATCATATAATTTGAGTAAACTGGCATCATCTAATCATTAACCAGGTATTTTCAGAAATTTTGGCCATTCAAAATCAAAGTATAAACTGGGCAGTAGTAGCATATGCCTTAATCCCAGTACTTAGGAGGCAGGCAGGTGTGTCTCTGAATTCAAGGCCAGAGATATAGAGTGAGTTCCACGACAGGTAGGGCTACACAGAGAAACCCTGTCTCAAAAAAACCCAAAAAAGAAAGAGAGACAGAGGGAGGGAGGGAGGGAGGGAGGGATGAAGGGAGGGATGAAGGGAGGGATGAAGGGAGGGATGAAGGGAGGGGTGCTTCTTTTAAAACCGGGCGATGTTGGTGCACATCTTGCACATCTTTCATCTACCAACACTCAGAAGGCAGACAGGCGGATCTCTGTGAGTTGCAAGGTAGTATGGTCTACAGAGCGAGATCCAGGACAACCACCACTATGTGCGCGCACACACACACAAACCACCACCACCCCCCAAAAAAAGCCCCTCTGTCTCAAAAAAACAAAAGACCAAAGTACAGCTGGTACATTGTTAATCCCAGCTCTTAGGAGGCAGAGGCAGCTGGATCTCTGTGGGTTCAAGGCCAGACTGATCTACACAGTGAGTTCCAGGATAGCCAGGACTATGTAGAGACCCTGCCTCAAATTCCAAAAAAGAACCAAAGTATTAAATGATTAAAAACCCTTGCCTATATTTGCTAATTTGCAAATAGCTTCTTTAATTTCACAGTATATAAACTTCACATAAAATGGTATAGGAGTTTAAATAAAAAACAACACCAAATTTGGATACCAAAAAGAAGTAATGTTAAGATTCCCCTCCCCCACAAAATAATTCACAATATAGACAGCCAAATACAAAACTGTTTTAAATTTTCAAATGACACAATACCATTAAGTGACACAGGAGACGTCTGGCATGTCTAACTGTTGGGCTAGATAATACTGACGTGACAGTCACAGTACATGGCACTCACAGAGGTCGGCACTAAACAGCAATGCCTGCAATCAGACCCGACTTACCCCAGAGTGTTGCCTGCCAGCCTGCCCAGAGTCTCCGAGCCTGAGAGAAACCACGGAGAGTCACTTGTCCTGCCAGGTCTGGACGTCCTCCCTGCCCCCGAGCTGCTGCTGCTCAGTTTTGACCTAGGAAAAAATCAAGAGAGAACCAGTCATAAAACAGCCCGGGCTGCTGGGGGAAGACACCTCCAGACCTGCCCACTGCAACCTCCTGTGGAGAGTATCCACCTGCCTGACTCTCTGGCTCCTCCCTATTAAAATGTGCACCAGCTGGCAGCCGCCCAACACAGTCCTTCCTATTAGAAACTGTTCTCAATTTTCAAATAGAAATCAACAGGAAATAGTAAATTTTCTTTACATTTTAATATTAAGCATGTTTTTCTTAGAAACAATCACATAGAAGTCGTATCTTATGAAGCATCCTTTGATACACTATAATTTTTAAAGGCCAAATTTGAAGGAAAAAAACCAAACTTGACTACTTTCAAATTGAGTTCCCCGTTTGTAACACGCACGGAAAGTCAGTCCAGTCAGCAGGCACATCAGCACACACCTGTACTATCTGCTACTTGGGAGGCCAGAGCAACAGAACATCTTGAGTACAAGAGTTCAAGACCAGCCTCATAAGTGCAAGAAGACCCCCTAACTCATCGATCATTTTTTCTGCTGTACCTTTTTCTTGGTTATCACTTGAGGATAACCAAGATCAAAACATTGGTTTTCTGAAACACCTTCTAAGTGCTAAATGCATACCATATTAAATACTAAATACAAGAGAAGGATGTAGCTCTGTGGTAAAGCACCTGTCTACTATACTAGGCTCTAGGTTTGACCCTCAACACCATAAACACAAACACACAAGCCAAAAACGTCTTACCCATCATTATTATCAGGTTTACCCAATTCCAGTCTGTCTGGTTGTACTGAAAAACCAATCCTACAAATTCTGCCATCCTAAAAACAAAGAAAACATGCAAAATTCTGAAAGAGAGGACACTAAAGTTTAAAGAGGACATAAATAAATTTAATTTATTCAGTAATCAGATTCTGCCTATTACTGTCAACCCAGAAGACAAGGAATTCCCTCCCGCAGCAGCACATGCCTGGGTAGAGGAACATGGCAGAGCACAAAGAACAGGAGCGCCTGACCGAATTCAGAGTGAGCACCATACAGTCACTGCATACACGTCTCCCCATTCATTCTCTTATGAACTAAGTTCCAGTCTTAGTCAATCATCTGCCCAGATTCTCTGGGCCAGTGAACTTCACAGAAAGAGAACTGGGCAATAAAGTGAATCCTCCAAGAAGCTACTGTTTTCCATGACTAAAAGGGAAGAACTGACACAGAGGAGGACTTCACTGTTTCCTTTCTCTACCTTATGGTGAATGATTTACCTCAAGAAGAAAGGCAGCGTGATTCGGCCCCACCACACACTGTTTTATAGTAGCCTGCTCCAGTACATTCAAAGGTGGGTGACTAGAGACAAAGAAAAAAGTACGTTAAGTAAAATTGTTCTTTTAATTAAACAAAAAGAATTCCTAAACTGAATTTAGTAAATATGATATCCACTATAACCACTGAAGTTGCATGGCATGTCAAACTGTTTAAAATAAGCATTACTGGAAACTAGAATTTAAATGACCCCAACTCTGACAGTAAAAGACGTGGTGGCATTTGCCTTTAACCCTGTGATCGCTGTGCTGTGAGTTTGAGGCTAGCCTGCTCAACAGACAGCCAGGGCTACATCTCAAAGATTCTTAATCTAATCAAATCACATCAATCACATTATTCTAAGGTATAAAATAAACCCTTTTCCTAATAAAAGGCTCCAGGGCCATGGTAGGGCAGCCGCTTAGCCCATCTAACCATGAGAAAGAAATGGCTAGACTTCAAAGAGCTTCAACTTCTTACCTGTTCAAATTGTACTTGTTCAGCTTCTCTGAAACTTCCCGTAACCTGGAAACACAAAAGCCAGGTGTTAACAAGCCCGGTCCTGGCCCTGCATAAACCAGCCGGCTGAGGGGCCTGCCCCAGTCCTGGCTGAACCCAATAGCAACAAGCAGCCATCACAATCCCTTTCCCTTTCTAGCCCAGCAGCAACTCCAGTATTAACCACATTAACCCTATTTCCACACAGGGAAAAGGCTTCTAGGGTTTTTATAGCAAACACCAGCAGCAAAGCTGGTTACCGAGCAAATGCCTAAATGGAAAACTCATTTTTAAAACTGCAGTTTAAACCAGGTGTAGTGGAGCACAGCTTTAGGTGGAGGCAGGCAGATCTCTGAGTTTGAGGACAGCTTGGTTTACATAAGTTTGGGGACAGCCAGAGCTACACAGTGAGACCTTGTTGGGGTGGGGGGACAACTGTTGTCTAGGCCAAAGTTTTGACAGTACATGAATATCATGCAGTGAAAATAACTGGGAAGCATGAACTTCTGTAGAATTGGCATAACAGAGTCTTCCCAAAGCCTGATAACCATAAGGCACAGTCTCGGTTTCTGCCGCTATGACATGAAACTGAATGGAGCCTGTGTCTATAAAGGAAGGGCACCTCCATTTCTAAGGCAGTATTGCTGTGCATGCTTAGAAGAAAATCTTGGGGCTGAGTAAGTGGCTCGGTGGGTAAAGCGATTGCCGCAAAGCATCAGGACCTGAGTCTGGACGCCCAGACCCGACATAAAAGCCAGGCTTGGCAGTGCACACCTTGAATCCCAGGACTGGGGGTGGGAGTAGGGGTGTTGCAGAGACAGACGAAGCTCAGGGGCTCGCTGGCAACCAAATGTACGAGAAACCAGGAGCCCGTCTTCAATAAAAGACCAAGTCTCAAAAACCGTGGTATGGTGGGGGCAGTGATACACTCCTTTAATCCCAGCGCTTGGGAAGCAGAGAGAGAGGCAGGAGGATCTGTGAACCTGAGGCCTGACTGGTCTACAGGTGAGTTCCAGGACGGCCAGGACTACACAGAAACTGTCAACTCCAAACACACATACACACAGCAGACGACAGCAGCCGAGGCCAACCTCTGGTATAATACGGATGCGCAAGCACTAAAGGCAAACTCACGGGGCAATGTAACAGAGATAAGAACTTGTACTGTCCACTGTAATTTTTCTGTTCCCCTCAAGGACATAGTCCGAAATTCATACAAAATGTTATCAGCCTACGGAAGTCATTTTATAATCTACAATATAACCAGAGATGTTCAAGAATTCATGTCTTTGAGTGTTACCTGAACAACTGTCTGATCTTTTCAAACGTTTTTAGAAATAATTTTTATACAAATACACTGAGAACTTTTGAAAACACGATGGAAAACAAGTGGGTGTGAATCAACGGGCCATCTGCGGAACTGTTGATGTCTAATAACTGACAAGGCATGAATGAGATCAAATTTTAACCACTTGAACAAACTGCTTAGGATTTAAAAGCATCCAGAGCTTCCAGAAGAGGCTGGAGAGATGGCCCAGGGGTTAAGAGCAGTGGCTGCTCTTTCAGAGGCCCTGCCTGGTGGCTCACAGCCACATGTAACTAGTTCAGGGCCTCCCGTGCCTTCTTCTGACCTCCATGCCATGTATGTGATCTACAGACACACATAAACAGAGGCAAAATACTCAAACATATAAAATAAACACCTTTAAATTTTTTTAAATTAAAATAAAAGCTTACAGAAGTCATTGCACCCAGGGGTAAATGTTCTAAGTCTTGCAGTGCGAGACTAAATTAGAACCAGGAGTCTTTTAACTTATCCTGCAACTAGAGAGTGGCTCAAGGACACGTCCTTGTCAAGCATGCGCAATAACTAATACCAACCAAAGATTACCTGGTGGTTAAAACTTTTCACTGGTGCTTTCATTTTTCCAAAACAAAAAACAAAACAAAACCCATTCTCAGCCGGCGGTGGTGGCACATGCCTTTAATCCCAGCACTCAGGAGGTAGAGGCAGGCGGATCTCTGTGAGTTCGAGGCCAGCCTGGTCTACAGATTAAGTTCCAGGAAAGGCGCAAAAGCTACACAGAGAAACCCTGTCTCGAAAAACCAAAAAAAGAAAGAAGAAAAGAAGGAGGAGGAGGAGGAAGAAAGAAGAAGGAGGAAGGAGGAAGGAGGAAGAGGAAGAAAAGAAGACCATTTTCACTACCAAAACTGTGGGGGCAATTTGCACCACCATACCCTTAAAAAGGCATCTCATTTTACCAGCCTGGTGGTGTATGTACTTTCTTTCATTAACAACATGTTCCCTTGGTGCTGGGAGATCCAGCTTTTCCCCTAAACTCCAGTTTGTTCAATTAGAGGGCACATTTCTGTTTCAAAACATGATGAAATCCAAGAGTACTGCACAGTGGACCCAGAAGCTATGAGGGGGCTAACTGGAGAATGAAGGCACACTGGACTGGGGACTGTGCTCCAGAGTGACGACAGCAGCCTTCAGAAGACCTGGAGCAGAGGTCCACATTCACTACAGACACAAAACTTGTCCCCAGACTACTAACTCGTCTTTTTTTTATTAGCACAAAATATACAAATTAGAGGAGGGACCAAAACTTCTTTCAAAATTGAACACTAAAGAAACCTGAAAATGAACAATTTGGAGGTGTTGGTGAGATTGCCCTACTGAACAACCTGCTCAGCTGAGATCCATTCGGGAGAGGATTCAGAAGCCTACAGTCTGCAGTCTGAGGAAACAAGATCAGCTGAGGAGTTGATGAATGAGCAAAACGTGACCTGAGAACACAAAAGAAGGCACCGCCCAGCCACCGAGCCAGATCACCAAAATCATAAGCCCACCCTACACCAACTGGGAACAGGTAAGCCCCCATCTCTGGACCGGCAGATCAGGTCTCTAGCCCCTAGGCCCTACCCATCTGAGTCCCAGGGACCTTTCCCTACTCCCGCACCAAAAAACAAACAAACAAACAAAAAACAACAACAAACAAAAAAAACCCCCGTACGAACCTAACAACCACTGGAGCCATAAACACACCCTGCACCAATTGATTGGACTAAGTTGCTCCCAAAGAAATAGAGCCTAACAGCACCAATTTGACCAAGAACTCCTAGAGAAAATAGATTCATCAAAGAAAACACTAAAGACAAAAAAGTCATAACACAAAACGTCTAAGAAATTTGGGACACCATGAAAAGACCAAACCTAAGAATAATAGGGATAGAAGAAGGAGAAGAATATCAACTCAAAGGCACAGAAAATATATTCAACAAGATCATAGAAGAAAACTTCCCTAACCTAAAGAAAGAAATACCTATGAAGATACAAGAAGCTTACAAACACCGAATAGGCTGGGTCCAAGAAGCCTGAAAATGAGCTGCTCCAGTGACTTCAAGGTAGATACTCATGGAACTCAACTAAGCTCTGTGGATGTCAAAATACTACAAAATAATCCCATAACTCATAAACTCAAGACTACCAAAGAGGTAAAGAAAATGGTTCCTGGTATCAGTTCAATTTTTTAATCTTAAAACTCACATTTAAGGAAGGCCAGTGAAGCTATGGCATGGTGGTGCACACCATTAACCCCAGCATTCTGGAGACAGAGACAAGTAGATCTTTGCAAACTCACCGGACTAACATGAATTCCAGGACAGCCAGAGACTGTGAGACCTTATCTCAAAATACAAACAAAAATGGCCAGTGAGACAGCTCAGAGGGGAAAGGCACTAGCTACAAAAGCCTGGGGCCATGGGTTCAAGCCCTGAAACCGACATAAACTGAAGAATACCAACTTTAGTGTTGTCCCTGGCCTCCTATCCACACATGTAACCTGTACACCAAAGCACAGCGCTCCACAGCCGGGTGTGGTTGTGCATGCTTGCAATTCCAGCACCCAGCAGGCAGAAACAGGGGGGTCAAAATCAGCTTGAGGCCAGGGTCATCTGCATAGTAAGTTCCAGGGCAGCCAGAGGTGCAAATACAAGATTATCTTTTTTTTTTTTAAATTATAATTTTTCTCTCTCTCTCTCTCTCTCTCTCTCTCTCTCTCTCTCTCTCTCTCTCTCTCACACACACACACACACACACACACACACACACACACACTTATTATGTACACAGTCTTCTGTGTGTATGCTTGAACACCAGAAGAGAGCACCAGATCTCATTACAGATGGTTATGATCCACCATGTGGTTGCTGGGAACTGAACTCATGACCTATGGAAGAGCAGCCAGTGCTCTTAACCACTGAGCCATCTCTCCAGCCCACAAGATTATCTCACAACAAAGGAAATACTTAATGTTTCTTTAACCCATAGTTAAAGCGGGGTGAAGCAGGACTATGATATCAACACTCAAGGAAACCAGGCTAGGTATATGACAAGACCCTGACTCAAAGCAAAATAAGGGAGGGGAGCATAATTAATGTCCTAGGCTCACCTGACATGTCTATCCATTTGTGGAAATAACATCCACTGCATACTGAGAAGAAGTCTGAGGGCTTCTCCCAGCTCACCTATGCAGGTTCTGAGGAAGGACTATTAGTCACCTCTGGGGCTTTTCAGGCTCCAAATTCTTACAAATGCATAAAAAAGCAAATATATCCGTGTATCGACATACTTGATGTTGATGACAAAGTAGCATTTACTGGGGTCATGAGTTGACACAGCAGGTAAAGGAACTTGCTGCCAAGTTTGGTGACCCAAACTGGACCCCAAAATCCACATGCTAAAAGGAGAAACTCCTTCAAGTTAATCCTCTGACCTCTACAAGAATGCCATGACATGTGTGCACACACATAATATTTTTGATGAATGAAATAGCATCTAATAAATACATTAAAATCCTACCCAACTGAAAAGTTTCATATACAAATAGATTTTATATAATCACATAGAATGCTTCACCAAATATCAACTTAATTAATAAACTCAATCCGAGAACATACATAAAATAGATTGTTCTTTCAAATCTCAGGACAATTCTAAGTATACTGGCCCTCTACAAAATGTTAGATCCAGAACATACTGACAAGGGAACCCTCAAGCACAAAGAATAAGCTCTATTTAAGGAGCATCTGCTTCTCTGCAGGGCTGAGCAAAGAACCCAGAATCGGCATGTCCACTGAGCACACCCACTTACACTAACGTCAGCGAGTGCCTTTACTAAGTAAGCACGACACACTCTTCCAGTAAAGAGGATCTTGGTGCACCAGCTTCCAATGCTTAGTCACAAGCCAGATTTCTTCTCATAGCAATAACACAACAGTAACATTTCTTGTTTAAAAAGCCAAGAAAGAGCTCATCAAATTTCACTTACCTCACTTAGCAGCAGACTTACAGGTAAGCCTGTGAGTGGCAATAACATACAACTGGACAGGTTGGCACAAGCCTATGAAACCCTCCTGTTCTGCTGTTCCAAGACCCAAGATTCATCCTACAGTCCAGGTCAATAACCTGTTCTGTTCTTTTACATTTATAAGTAATTTTACAGATCCAAAAAGCAGAGTTTTTAAGTACTAAACTGACATACTTTATTAATAAAACCTGCTAAGAGCTAACAAACATTTATTACTACTAAAAGCCCCAGAGCTCATCACACACACACACACACACACACACACACACACACACACACTAGTTTCAAAGATAATTTAACTTTGCACAGACCCTAGGTCGGCACCACACATAGTGAGGGTCTTCAGTTCTTAAACTCTGCCTACCTACTGCCACATATCAGACCTCTGAACATTCAGACACAAGTCCAAGTGCAATTAACAAACTCCATAGGTCTTTCTTGCTGAAGTGCAAGGAAATAACTCCCCAAAGCTCTGGCTCTCAGGGAAGACGGCGATTCTTCAAACCCGCCTGCTCCAAGCGCTGCTCCCCAGCTGCCTGAAATTGTATGGGAAGAGCGTTTGCTCATGGGATGTGGAGTGCATGATCTGCCTTCAGCACACTTCCCTTGGTGCCATTCCGACTTACTTCTGCCCAGTTCAAATCCACTGACTGGCAACTGCTCCTGGTGGCATCCCCAGCTTCTCTCCCATATCACATCTCACTGTCAGCACCCAGCTATCTATAGGCTCCTGTCTGAAGGTCTGCACAGAAGGACTAAAGCAGTCTTTCCATTTCTCAGCATACAGTTCCATCAGTGAAGATTAAGTTACCCCATAATCCATCTCAGACCCAAGATTCTTGGCCTTAATATCAATAAACTCACCTTCAGGCAACCAACAACTGTGCATCTAAATGTCCAGCTTTGTTTTTTGATTATTTCATTATCTGCTCATGTTAACTGGGGGAGGGGTGACTGGTGTTTGAGACAGATTCTCAGGTAGCCCCGGCTGATGACCTTGAGCTTCTCTAAATAAATAAATATCAAAATCTCAAAATTTTTTGATTTTTCAAGACAAGGTTTCTCTGTGTAGCCCTGGCTGTCCTGGATCTCGCTCTGTAGACCAGGCTGGCCTCAAACTCACAGAAATCCGCCTGGCTCTGCCTGCCGGGATTAAAGGCGTGCACCTCCACAGCCTGGCGAATTGGTTGAAAACCAGATCCTTTGGAGCCATTCTGGTCCTTCTCCAAAGGCTTTCGGCTCTAAATGTCAGAACCCAAATAAAAACTAAGAAAGGGTGAAAGTGACTTACATTCATTCTGGAACAGGTACTGTGTGTTACTAGCCAGATGGCAGACAAGCGCTAAAACCACCTCGAAGCATGGACATGGGCTTTTCACTAATTGCGTTGTCCTGCACCTCCATGAACAGTCAGTTCTCCACTTCCGTAAGTCTTTACCAACACTGTAACGGGGAACATGCACACTATAGCACCTCTTCTCTGGTCTTCTCCCGCCAAGCTCAGGGAAGCCCCTTGGCCAGAATCTGCTCTTTGGGCCCCACCGCTGCCCTTAGCCTTCCTTCCTGGGTCTATGTATTCTACCTTTGAAGCTGTGGACAGCTGAGAAAAGCCTAGAAGGGTTATGCCAAGGGTGGGGGAGGGAGGTGTGCTGCAAGCTTGTCTGTCTGTCTGTCCTCCACAAGGGATCCCTCTACAAGTAACCCCTATCTCCAGTCTCAAAGGCTTTCCTCAACAGCTTTTCTTCCCTGCCCCCATAATGTACCTTCCTGGCTCCCACATTTTGAATAAGATCACTTTAGAGTCTTGTTAGTCATTTACTGAGGACTCCAAAAAGATTTGTTGATGGTAGCCTCGTGTCTATTTCAAGTTAAAATTAAAAACCCCAAAATAATACTTCTAGCTTATTACAGATTGACAAAAATTTCATTCCTATCCAAAATAACTACTCTCCCAAGAATACTTGATTAGGGGACTGTTTTGGCTTTGTTACTATGTTTAAATCAGTGGTATTCTCAGATCTGCCTGTACAGTGCAGCATATTAGTGACTACAGGATGTGACTGCAGGTATGGCTCGGAGGTAAAACATCCTCACCGCTGAGATGAGAGTGGCACTAAGGACAGACTTTAAGAAGGCTGGACCACAGTAGAGAGGGTGTTAGAAAGAGAGTGTTTGTTTATGAGAGGCTTCGCTACCGGACAAGGCTGGCTTTCAACTCCAAGCATGGTCTCCCAAGCAGCTGTAGACGTGTGCAGCCTTACTTCCTTTCCAACAGACTCCTGGGAACCTGGGTTCCAAGCAGGAGGCCTGACCCTGCTGGCAGGAGCATTTTAATATCCTTCTCAGGGAACTAAGTGATAGTTTCTGAACAGTTCAGCGTAATGTTCAGTCTGGAAGTGATCCATGAATCCACGCCTGATTCATCGATAACCACAGTGCTGGTCACATGGATAATACTTCTGCAGAGTGTCAGTCATTGCTGCTCTTGTTACTACAATGAGAGCTGAGGATAGCAAGTTTCTCAGTTTTTGGAAAAGGTCAAATTCTAGTCTGAAAACTCAAACAAATATCATCCAGGTGTTTTTCTTAAAACAAGTCATTTCATTTAAAAAAAAAAGGGGGGGGGATCCATTAGAATCCAAGCTGCATAACCAATCTGTCAGCTATTCCTTCAAATAAAACAGTTTCTATAAAGTCGTCACCGGTACAAGAACTCTTCCCTCCGTCCCCACAGCCTACGGTTCACTCATCTGTCACTCTAAATGGTAAGGAGGCCGCTCTACACTGAGACGTCCAGCTACCTTACCAAGGGCCCTCTAAAGTAAAATGCTTGTCTCCCTCCAAATGCAAGACAGTGAATGAACGTTGACACAGCTTGGGCTATGCTTTGATTTTCCATGAAAGAACCGTTATTTTACCCAAGCTGCATTTGAATCATACCTCCAATATGAAATCAATTAAGACAGGTCTCAGCATTAGAGTGAACTCTCCAGGCTCTATACATTACACTGCTGTGACTATAGTTTAACACACACGGTTAAAGTGTGTTAAAGTATGTCAGAACAAAGTGTTTGCCACACAAACATGAATTGCTCGTTCAGACCCCCGGGACCCATACAAAAACAGAATGTGGAGGCATGATATTGGCCTCTACTCCATAGTCACACACCATACATGTGCAAACATACCCAACACTCTACACACACATATGTTCACGTAGAGTTTATTAAATTAAGTCAAACAAAATAATGGAAAACAAATAAAACAAACATACAAATACAAAATAATTGCCCATCCTCATGAACAATCACAGAAATCAACCAAAACCTCCTGGCTATGTACTTTTAAAATGTTTTTCAAAGGCCAGGCATGGTGACACACCCCTTTGATCCCAGCACCTGGAGGACAGAGACAAGCAGATCTCAGAGTCAAGGCCAGCTAGGTCTACATTACCAAACTCCAAGTCATCCAGTATCAAAAAGAAAGGGGGTCGGGGTGGGGGTGGGGATCTAGCAACTGAGCTCACACTAGAGCAGTGAGCAGAGCTGCCCTTTGCGGCCTCCGTCCGGCTGCAGATAGCTGACACAGAAGGACCACTCCTGCCCCTCGGTTGGGGCCATTTCCTCCTCGATGAGTCAACTCATCTCAGTCTTTTGATCCCTCTTTGCTCGGACTCAGGCCTGTCCACATTTTCTCTCTTTAAATCTGGCTTGACATCATTCTAACCCTTTTAACTCTGTGCCTACCCAAAGAGAACCATGCTCAGTTGCAAACAGCTGACATCACTCTTCAATGACCCCAGGGCGCACAAATGATGGCTGTCAGAGAGAAACTTGCAGTCCGCCTTTTGAATCACTACTCACAAGGAGGACTTAAACTTGCTCTAACACTTAGGAACCTACCAAAGACTTTCACTTTACAGAGCAAATGACAGAAGACATTCCTCAATGCATTCAAGAGGAAAAAAAAGTTTCGAAAACACCACTGTAAATACACATGATGTAGGATTTTAAATGTCTTTGTCATCTACGTCCTCTAAAATGGTTTCCAATTGAAACTTCAAAGATTCCTACAGAATGACAATGACAAAATGTGGATTATAAAAAAAAAAACCTTCTACAAACTACAATAGAGAACTAATTTCTTAATAGCACAAATCATTTCTTCCTGGAATCTAATGCTATGATTAGAAATTCCTATTTAGTGTTACAGATTTAATATTACAGATAATATAAGACGAGGAGACACAAACCCAAACAACTATGCATCTGAAAGACAGACATCCCTGGGAGAGTGAACTCCAAACACACAAACTGAGTCATTTTCCTTTAAACTCCATTCAAGACAGGAAAAGGGAAAGAAGACTCATGCCAGGCGGGCAAGAGGAAATTTGGCAGAACAGGTCAAAGATATGGCCTTTTTACACATTCATTTTTGATAGCTTTCTAAGTCTTGGCTCATCTCACTTCTTTATTGTCCCTCCTGACAGGGTCAAGTTTCTCTATGTTAACAGCCCTGGCTGTCCTGGAACTCGCTACGTAGACCAGACTGGCCTCGAACTCGCGAAGATCTATGTGCCTCGCCTGGAGTGCTGACAGTAAAGGTGTGTGCTACCACTCTCGGCTTGGCTTCCTTTTTAAACAGTAAACTATACCTACGCAGGAACAAGCACGTCAACAGGACAAGGGACTTCTAGTCCAAGAGTGCAGCACCCAGCCAGTCCCGATACCTACAATCACTCACAGGAACACCCTGCCAACTGTCCCAATACCTAGAACCTGACTCACAGGAACGACCCCGCCAACTGTCCCAATACCTACAACCTCACTCACCGAACACCTCCGCCAACTGCAGATAATGTCCTCAAATCCTTCCAGGTCCAGTCTGAACTCTTCTTACAAAGTCTTGTAACTGACTACTTCAAAAATATATAAAACCACATTGATATAAACAGAAATCAAGTACCGTATTGAAATCTGGTTGTTGAGTGGCATTAAGATGCCTAGAAGACTGCACACGTGACCACTGTCAGAGCTGAAGAGCTGAGAACTACAGGGGGAAGTAGCAGCTTGGTCTCTGAAGTGTTCACTTCGTGTCCTGAGCTGCTATCCACTCTTAGGGACAGCAGAGTGCTCTGCTGCACACTACCAGCCCGCCCCACTCCCATCCCCCACCCCCTGCTCATTTGGCTTGCTTTAACCTCACAGATCTTAGACAGCTTCTCATCTGTTAAGTGGAAATGTGACCATCTGTCTGGAAGAGCTGCCTACAGAAGGGTTAGAGGTAATTTTGTTACATATCTTAGAGGGAGCCAACCACTTAAACGGTCAATTAACAGTAGCTATTATCGATATTGTAAACTCATGTTTTTCATCCTTGGATTGTGTACTATGTTGCAACTTCAAATCTTCCACACTCTGGCTTGAACTAGTTGCCAAGCTCATAGGCCCTCAAGTCTGGTAGGAATCTGAGGATCCAAGGAATAGCCAGAATAAGGTTCCAAGACAGAAAGCCAGCTGCACCTCTTCCTGGTCCTTAGGCTTGAGCTCTCTTCTAATGAAGAGTGGGGTTTTTGTTTGTCTGGTTGGTTGGATGGTTGGATGGTTGGATGGATGAATGGATGGATGGTTGGTTGGTTGGTTGGTTGGTTGGTTTTCGCCCTCACATAATATTTCTAATCCTATCTCTTGGGTAGCAGTTATAATCCAAACATCCTTATCTTTAAATTACACTCCAACTATTTTTTCCAGCGCACTCCCTCAGCCTAGCAGAACAACTCTACCCCCAGAGCCGGCCGTCCGGCCGTCCGGCCGTCCGTCCGTCCATCCTCCAGAGAGTGGAAACCAGGCGCTCTGAAGCCCGCACTAAACCAGGCACTGTGCTCAGGTCCAGTGTGCCTGCTGCCGCCTGTGTCCTCCACAGCACTACTTACACTGTTACTCCGGTTGGCAAACTCTGGAGGGCAAACCCCCCACATTAACTTCTAAGCCTCAACAGCAGACACATTATACATGTTCACTAGCTACACAGGGATCCCATGCCTTAGCTCTAAGCCCTACATTATTTCAAAATAGTGTTTAGTTTTTGCTTTTTTCTTTTTCAAAAACTAAAGAGTTTATTAATTTTATTTTATATATGACTGTTTTGCCTAAATGTATATCAGTGCATCACATGCATGTCTGGTACCGGGGGAGGCCAGAGGAGGCCAGACGGTACCCTAGACCTGGAATTACAGATGGCTGAGCCATCCTGAAGATGCTGAGGACCAAACCAAAATCCTTTGGAAGAACAGCATACGCCCTTAATCA